TTTAAAATACTTGCTAGTTTATTTTCATGGAAACTTTTTCATGGTGATTCAATGTTTAAATTCTAATATTGCTGTTTAATTTTTTTGACCAAGGAGGTGGAGGAGCAATGAGTCAAAGTCAAAGAAGTAGAGCAAGGAGAAAAGGAGGGGCAAGCATAGTGCTTTTCATCCCACAGAAATTGGGAATTTAACAGCTGATTAGCTATTAGAGTGTCTTACAGGTTCCCTTGTGTTTTACATTTCTTTTAGCTTAATTAATGACTCACTCTGCCTTTTAATCTGCCCTCCTTAGATTATTAGCACAGTAGCTTTGTTTATTTAAGGGAAATTTCAGGGAGGCAGGTGTTAAATACTATTAGTCGGTATCTTTCCCGTATTAGAATGCTTAATAATGTCTTGCTGATTCATATTTAGACCTTTCTGTATTTAACCTGGTTCTATAGTTGATATATAATACAGCTTCTAAATTTTCATTATTCTGGAATTTCTTGAATAATGTTTGAAACTGCTTTTGAAAAAGATTACTTTTTAAGTTCCACAGACAAAGCATAAAATTAAAAATGTTTCATATTCCTTCAGCTTTAGTTTCCACATAAGAATATAAGATCCTTGATGTAAAACAAGTGAGTTTCACTTTATACCCAGGTAATATGATCTAGCATTTATTAAAGAAAGCAAAGTACAGTCAATATTGGTTGCTGCTGCTCTATTATTGCATTAAGTTACTGGCTACTTTTTCTAAATTCTTCTAGTTTCACAATTGCATTGTTATTAATCCAGGAAAACAAGAATTTAACACTTTATGTTTTTTTCTGTCTCTCTCTCTCTCCTCTCTTTCTCTCTCTTTTCTTCCTCTATCTCTATCTCTCTGGCTTCGAAAGCTATAATAAGTTCTGCCCAGTTATTTGTTTTTATTATTTTTCGGAGGCACTGCAAACTTGTATTCAGAGGTTCCACATTAGATTTAGTTTGTCCTTCAAAACTGGATTAGAGAGAGATGCCAACACATATGGTAACTCCTGGAACAGTTTATAGTTTGAACAACCTACAGGAAACCACGAAAGCCACATTTCCTGTCAGTATTGTGAAGCCAAAATCTGTGTTTGGAAATGAACTTGAGCATGTACTTAAAATCTGTGCAAAAACCCATTTAGTGATCTTATGTCGTTTTAGAGGTGACATATCCCGAATGACATTCAAATAAAAGCTACCAAAACCTTGATTGCGTTTTAATGAGTGAAAGTAATTTCAAGTTCTATTTTATGTTTTTTAAATGAATACTATTTTTATAATTTTTAAACGCCACTCCAAATCAGAGTTAAGTTCAACTGCTTTGTCTCTCCTTGCTTTGCCTATGAGTTCCATTTATGTTTTTTCTCCAAAAGTCAAGATTTAAAATTTTTATCCTTAAAATAGCTTCCAGTTTTTCATGTGCATTCTCTGAAAAAAGTATGCAATATGTTTACGTAAATAATGTTTCAGCCATCCCTGGTATTAGATATTAGTTGTGAAATAAAACCAGTAACAAGCTAAATAAATGTTTACATATCATCAATACACGAGTGCTCCATGTGAATAGGTCGTTTGATCTTTTAGAAAGAACAGAGTTGATAAGAAACACTATAGCAAATTTCCAAAGCCTGAAAGCTCCTGGCTGCTAACAATTGGCACTTCAAAGATTCTTTGACAGCAAAGATGGTGACAGCTAAGAGTGTATCATGAGGAGAGTTTATAGTAAACAAATGTTGCCTTTGATGCAAATTTGGGTTTCTAAAGACATTAGTTATTACTGAATGGATTTTCAAAGGCTGCTCTACAAAGCCTGCTCGAGAAATTGCTCTGTGGCATTACTCCAAAGCTTGTGTTTACCTATGAAAAATTGGACTTTTTCACTTTCAAATAGAAGATTATAGTTATAGGTATCTTCCATGTATATTATGTTCAGTAAGGATTATGTGTCAATTTAGCCCAGGGGATAAGCTGTTATGCAATGACTGATGTTTGAGAAGATTCCTTGAACTTTGGATGGACTACTCATCTCTAGCTTTTATCATCCCAGGGCTCACCCATTCAGCAGAATTATTTCCGTCTATACTCTCTTAGTCTACAGCTTCACCTGAGAAACTTGTGTAGCTATGTATCTGAATGTGCTCTCCTACCATTATTATTTTTCTCCAATATAGAGTTTTCTTATCTTTCTTTTCTTATTCAGTTAAATTTTAAACTTACTGGAATTCTTCCAAACTCAGTCTCCTCTTCTCTTTCACACTTAGAATATATAGTTCTAGATAGGAAAGTTCATTCTGCAGTGTCTGCTCGCCATGAAGCTAAATTGAATAGAAGCCAGTCTAAGACCAACATTAATTTATTCAAGAATACGAGACTTTCCTTCAATTTTATGGAAAAAGATTATTTTGTTTGCCGGTGTTTGTACATAGAGATTAAATATGCCACCAGGTGTAAAAAGGGAAACACTACACTGGGTTCTTAGGAATCGCAAGGCAGTTGTGAAGCCCTCTTGTTCTCTCACTATTTTACAACTGTTTATAAAACTTCATGGCTGAATTGGCAGGAAGAAAACAACCACAGGTAAATTATCCACCTAAAGTATTAACATTCATTAACACAGATAACAGTGTCAAATTTAAGAGTATTAGGTGGCAATTGTGGTGAAAGTGGTTTTAATGACTAAAGATGCAATGAGGATAATTTAAAAGGCTTTTGAAAGAAATGTCAACCCAACACTCTAATGAGGGTGAATTTTTTAAAGAATGATGAGACTGTTTACATTCAGCAGACATCTTGTTCTTCACATAGACCAAAATACAAATGACACAAGTTAGTAGTAGATGAGAAAGAGAGACAAATTATGAGTATCTCTGTCATCCTGAACCATTGGGCTCTTCTTCTTATCTATTGTCTGACATTAGGTATGTTTACAGTAAACCCAAACATGTTTGTTTTGGTGTATAACAACTTATTTTTATTATTTGCTGAGATATTTACACATATATGCACAAATTTTTGCTTGATACAGAAATATCCGTTTACTTTCTATAAGTTGTATATTGTGATGCAAAGATGAATCAGGTATAAGTGAATAAATTTCTCAACAAATTTATGTTTATGTTTAAAAACAAACAAAATGATACATTTAAACATCAAAACAGTAAAATGAAGAAATATGTATTATAGCTATGTTAGACAACAGATTAGTATTTATATATTATTCAGTGTAGATATAAGTTGGTACAATCAGCCCTGTCATCTCAATATATGCTTTAGGCAAAACACAATACATAGTTAATGTAAGAAGAAATCAGGATGTGTAATCAATACATCTATAAAGGTTTCACTGTCACTAATAATCAAATAGTTGTAAATTACAACAAGTTGTTTTTTTTTTTTCAACTTTGCAAAACTGGAAACAAATTATAAACAATAAGATACCACAACAAAGACACTTTTTCTTGCTTCTTTTTTTTTTTTTTCCTCTGAGATGGAGTCTCACTGTAGCCCAGGATGGAGTGCAGAGGCAGGATCTCGGCTCACTGCAACCTCCGTCTCCTGGGTTCAAGTGATTCTCCTGCCTCAGCCTCCCGAGTAGCTGGGTTTATAGGTGCCCACCACCACAGTTGGCTAATTTTTGTATTTTTTTAGTGGAGAGGGGTTTTCTTTCATGATGTTGGCCAGGCTAGTCTTGAACTCCTGACCTCAGATGATCTGCTCGCCTCAGCCTCCCAAAGTGCAGGAATTACAGGCATGAGCTGCTACACCTGGCCAAACAATGCTATTCCTAATAGTAAAAACTTTAAAAATTATATTTAAATGATATTTTAAATTGACATTTTAAAATAATGAATTTATCAGTTAGCATTTGGCCAGGAAAACAGTTTATAACTAAAATGAATTGGCTAACATACACAAGATGTCATAATTAATGTTTCAGGACATTATAATATTACTTTTGGACTTGTCTTTGTTATAGAAGTGTAAAATAAGACATTTGTTTTATTTAAGACATTTGTAAAAGCAAACATTATCAGTTCTGCTTTGATGAACTAGTTTTCACTTTCACCACAAGTGTGTTAAAAACATTTTCTCACAAAGATAGTCATTTCAATGAGTTAAAAGAAACATTTATTGGGTTTGAGGAAGCAAAGCAATGTGTGAACATGAAGAATTGGGGTCAGAAAAGTGAGAGGACCAGAATTTAGTTAGATAGCCAGGAACTAGAAAAATTCATATAACATAGAAATCAGAGCAAAATATGTCCCAAGAGCATGTGAGGCATCAGCAGGAAATGAGAAATAGGTGAAGTCAAGTAGAAGAATAAGTCCTTGGCACACATAAATAAGGAAAGGCATCACAACTGAGGCCATTTTCTATTGCAGTCTTGCTGAACTTTAAGCTTCTTGAGAGCACGGACCATCTTTTATTCCAATATGTAGTAGAATGGCTGGAAGAAATGTGTTCAAAAGTAGAACTGAAGTAATGGACTCTGTACCCTTTAACCTTGAGGTGGCCTATTCTGGAGTTTTCAGCCACTTAATATCAAAAAAATTGCCAAACCAAAATAAATGATAATTTTACAGTTATATTTTATTTGAATGAAAGGTAGAAAAATATTTCATTTATTCTGTAGAAAAAGGTAGATATCTTGGATTGAAAAGGTCAAAATAAAAATTTTTGTGCTTCGAGTTCACTTTGAATTACATCTTTTTTGTGATACTTGGTATACAATATTATGTGCATTTTTTAATGTTTTTCTCCCCTGTTACAGAGTAAGCTTCTAGGCCTGGAACATATATTCCTCTTTAAATTCTCAGCACCAGGTTGTACTGATAGTTTCCACTACTTTTAAATTGATCTGAACATTTTCCCCTTTCGAACAACCATTCATTTCCCTTCTCCATCTCATGCTTTAGGCTGAATCAACTTTATACTTGACTCAAAGAGCAGACCTGTGTTCCAGGCCTGAACAATATGATTCTTTTCAGAAATGAGTCTGTAACCCCAGAGGAGACTTCACCAGTGAAAATCAATCCTTGAGATGATTGCTGCAGTTCTTAAATAAGAAGCATTCTTTTCTTTTGAACTCCAAACTGTAAGAATGATGTAAGCAATGCTTACACAATATAAAGAGATCCTGACCAATAATGAAAGAAGTAGAAGAAGGAGTAAAGTGAAAAGCTAAAGTGGAAGAGAGAGAAAGAGAAAGAGATGGAGAGACTTGATGGTACCCAGCCCTTAGAACGCTCTCTGAAATCTAATCCTATTTTCCGAGGGTACGTAGGCTAATACATTTCTATTTTGTACTTTAGTTTGTTTGAATTAGGTATCTGTCACCCACAAGTGAAGGAGTGATAAAAATTGTAAGAATATTATTGGGAAATTGGGAAAATTTGAATGTAGACTCTATATTTGATAAAATTCTGTATAAATGTTCATGTCCTATGGTATAATAATAGTAGTGAGGCTATCAGAAGGTATTGAGAAATATATTCTGAAATATTTAGAGGTTAAGTATCATAAAATCTTCAACTTTTAAAAGGATCACCAAAATAAAGTATGTATTTATATAGAGAGACAAAACGAACATTTAAAACATTTAAAAATTAGTGAATCTAAGTGACGACTGTATATGTGTTCACTGACTATTCTATTAACTTTTCAGTAGGTCTAACATTTCTCAAATATAATTTGAGGCGGGGAGGGAACCCAAAAAGCAAAAATTATTGAGTACCATAATTGCTTCATAATAGATGCTCCACAATGCACTTTTTTCCCCCAATTTTTGCTAAACTTTGTAAGCTCCTTTATTCACTTGAAGTAATCAAAATAGTTAAATCAACAGTACAATGCTTTTATTACCACCATGTTTTATGCACAGAAGTCAAATTGTGTAATACTTTATTTGGGAATGAAAGTGAGTTATGTATCTAGATAACAGAAAGGACCAACTTATCAAATCAGACTCATAGGAATCAGAGACCTTACCCAGAACTAACCTTCCTTAATCATTTCAAGGATACAAATAACCAGCACATGCAAAATAAAGGGAGGCTTAAGAGTATCATCACAGCTCCCTGAGTCTTTTGTTGTCATATTAGGACATGCTCTGTCCAGAACAATATCTTAGGATTCTAAGTGATATACGTGGCTGGATCACATACCCAAAATGGAGATGTTTCATTCCTGAAATATCTTTATTTTATACTCAGTTACATAGCTCACATGACATTTGCCAGGGAGCCATGCCCTATACATCTTCCTATTCTGTGTTTGCTTACCATGAGCAATCTTAGACACACAAAGCATGTTCCACAGATAGTCTCTGTTAGTAAGTATCATTATACGTTTGCCAAGAAGTCTGTTGCTAGCAGTCAGCATGTTTACAGGGAGGTTTGACCACATCACCTTTCTTTTTTCTTTCCCCAGGACATGTAACCTCTCAAATTGAGAGAAGGGATTGCAGAGCTATTGACTGTATTCGCCCCTGTGTCTCACCTTCCCATCTCCAAGATTTCCTTGTCAATTACCCATATTGGTGTCAGTTTATCCACATCCATGCTTTCAAATTTAAACAAAGAAACTAGGCAAAGGCAGCTCTGTATTCACTAGGATTAGGGAGGAGAAGATAATCAACCGCTGGTTAGTGAGAAGAAAGAGAGGTGGAGAAAGTGAGACACCCCAGTAACAGAGGCATCTAAGAATAGGGACATAGTTATATGTAAAACATGCAATAATTTTATATATATGTACAAAAGTGATACACACATATGTACATAATTAAACAAAACACAATTACTGTCTACATTTCTTTGTCACCTAATGTTTTATGCTGTTTGTAACTGAAAAAAAAAAGTTCCCTTCTGAATAAAATGTCAATTTTGTGATTGCATTTTTTCTTGTCCTTCCTGTAATATTTCAATTATGTATATATATATTTTGAGGCAGGATTTCACTCTATTGCACAGGCTGGAGTGTATTGGCCTGATCATGGCTCTCTGCCGCCTTAACATCCTGGGCTTGAGTAATCCTTCCACCTTTACCTGAGTATCTGGGACTATAGGCATGCACCACTGTACCTGGTTAATTTTTTTTGTTTTATTTTTTGTAAAGATAGGGTCTCACTATGTTACCCAAACTAATTGTTTAAATCTGAGTGACAGAGTTTTAGTTTTATTAAATTCGATCAATTTCATTGGTTACTGTCATAATGGCAAATCACTTTCATACATACATGATGTTGGTGATATATGTATGTGTGTATGTGTATATATACATACATCTTAGGACTTATGAATCATCTTAGGACGTCCTATGTGTAGGTAGAAAGAAATGATCACTCAATAAGGCATATTATCCTAAAGTAATACTATACATGTGTATATCAATGAATTTATACATATATCATTGTGTGCAGCACAGTTTAAATTTCTTGATGACATACTTCCATTACACAAAATAATATATGTTCAAATATGACATGATTTGCAAGACTTTTTACTATTTTGCTATTTTAAAATAGAATAATTTCATGTTATCTGTTATTCAGAAATTATTTCCATGTATTTCATATTTGGGTTTGATAAGAAGCAGTTAAATAATACCTAGAGTGTCCTTATTGTCATTACATTAAAATAAAGCTTTTTATTTTGTCCCATTCTGGGAATGAAACCTCAGGTTTTATGCAAGGAGAACCCAGATAGTTTGGAGGCCTGTGTCCAGCTTTCTACCTAGAACTTGAAGAAGAAAGCTGTCTTACCTTATTTGCGCTACTATTACAAAATACCTTGAACTCGGTAATTTGTAAAGAACAGAAATTTATTTCTCACAGTTCTGGGGCTGAGAAGACCAACTCAAACCGCCAGCAGATTTAGGGTCTAGTAAAGGCTGTTCTCTGGTTCCAGAATAGTTTCTTGTTGCTGTGTCCTCACATGGTTGAAGGGCAAAAGGCACTATGGCACTCCCTTCAACCTCTTTCATAAAAGGACTAATTCATTCATGAGGCGGGAGCCATCATGACTGAGTCACCTCACTAACGAACTCACCTCTTACTACAAGCACATCGGGTGTCAGTTCCAGTGTATGAACTTTGGAGGGACATTTTGTTGCAGGACTTTCTCCTGAGTTCAGCTAAAAATCAGATTCTTGCCACATGGCCAGGAAAGATTAGGCTGTGGGACACATAGAAGGGTGGGAAAAACAAAATTTATTGGACAAAAAAGAAGAAGAGAAAAACTTTCAGCAGAGTGAGACGGAAGCCTGTTAACTAGCTCCCAACCCACCACACAGGAACTCGAGAGGCCGGGCTCCTCCCCTCTGCAAACAGGACAAACTTCTGTGGCTCCACCCCATTCTCCCAGTGTGCAGGCCAGACTGGAGGTCTCCAGGGAGTCCTTTTCCCTTGGCTGTCTCATTATATATTCAAACCAAAGCAAAAGCTATGGACACCTCTTTTCAAAAATATCTCGTTCAAACTGTAGGATAGCACTGGAAGGCGGGCAGGGGACCCAAAGAGCTATCCTTGCAGTCCCTTCTCCATGTGATCCTGGCATGGAGAGGGGAGAACTCAAAGAATCCCTGCATCTCCCAGACCGCGGTGTGGAGATTGACTGGGAGTGAACCAGTGAACTCACGGTCCCGAAGTGGACTTGTAACCCTAAAGAAATGAACACAAAATTTTCAAAGCTGGTCACTGGAGATGCCAAGGGGCAGACACCCAAAGATGAGATAAAGTGAGCTATACCTCATCAAAAGCCAACTAGAACCCACCAACTCTCTCTCCAATCCCTGAGAACAGAAATCAGCCCAGCGAGAAAGGCAGAAAAAGGAGAAAGAACTGTGAAATCACTATTTACTTTTAAAAGACGGAATTATATATCCTGAATTTACAGTGAGAAAGCACATTAAATTGACTCAAATATGTTGTCCACCATTTAGAGAACTAAGGCTGAGTTAGAGATAAAATTTGAGCTATAAAACAATGTTCTTTCACTACACACTTGAGTCTAATGGACTCCTTCAAATTTTATATCCTCCAAACATTCATATCTTTACATTTTTGTCGTTGAAAGTACAAACGGTTTGTATGCCATGCATTGAGAAACCAAGATTCATGGATATAATCAGAAAGCATCTTTTCTCTTCCATTGTCTTTTAAAAATGTGTTCAATGATAAAGTACCACCTCTATGCTCTGCTGAAAACTCCAAAAAGCTTTCCTCCGAAAGCATTCCTATGCTTTTTGGCTTACTTTTATTATAAAAGATCATATAGTTACATGAGAAAAAAAAAAATTCAGTTTAGTGATTACATGCTTCTAGTTGTTTTCCAGTTCTCAAAGAATCTAAACATCACCCCTGATTTAAAATGAGATCTTCCCTTTCTCTTTTGCAACTTGCTGCTTGCTGGCCTCTGGCAGGCCACAGTGGTATTACGTTGCCCTTATATTTTCACCTCTCTTTTAAAGTTAGCTAAGGTCCTTAACCACAATGGGATTAAATGGCTGGAGGGAGGTGAGTTTAGGGAGACAGGAAAATTGTCACCTTATCCTGCATAAGCTGGCTTTGTATTCTGGGGCTGGTCTGGTGTTTAAAATACAATATGATTTATAAGAGATATTCATACTCTAGGAGTGAGCCATTTTCAACAACAGCATTCTTCTCCACTCAGCTGCCAAATCAAGTAGCCACTCCATATCTCTTATTTCCTGTCTCTCTAGATTTCCCAGGTGAGAGGCAGAAACAAATCTGCTGAGTCCCTCTGAATGCGGCAAAGATTTATCAAACTTTTTTATTCTCCTGAGTGAAGAGAACGTTATGCCACTTTGTTCCACTACAGTGTAGGTAGGCCCTTACAACACAGCACTCCCCAGAGAAATACTTGAAGCATAGCTTCTTTCTTTTTCCATGCTCTTGCATATCCACAATGTGGATAGAAGAGGCTAGAGACAGTAATCAATTTTGGTTAATCTTCTTTTCCAAGAACCCCATGCTAGTCAATATTGATATTTTATTTTATTCAATATTGATGTGCATGCTTCATTCAAAATGAGAGAGACCAAAGTCGATATTTATGTGCTGTTTGTCTCTATCTATGTATCTATCTATCTATCATCTATATATCTATCGCTCTCTTTTTTTTTTTTTTTTAAAGACAGTTTCACTCTGTCGCCCAGGCTACAGTACAGGGGCATGATCTCAGTTCACTGCAACCTCTGCCTTCCAGGAGCCTTAGCCTCCAGAGTAGCTGGGATTACAAGCACGTGCCACCATGCCTGGCTAATTTTTGTGTTTTTGGTACAGACGGGGTTTCGCCATGTTGGTCAGGATGGTCTCGAACTTCTGACCTCACTTGATCTGCCTGCCTCGGCCTCCCAAAGTGCTGGGGTTACAGGTGTGAGCCACTGCACCAGGCCTACATATCTATCTATCTTTGTATCTTTTCTTTTTATCTATGTACCTATTCTAACTGGTTTTACTATACTATATGCTTAGAGTTCAGAGTAAATTAGCTAGCATTCCAACAGGATCTTCTCATTTGCAATGTCCACATTTAAGCATTCAGAAGGTTCTATTTTCTCATTGCCAAAATAAGGAAAAATTTGATTCACCATCTTTAGATTCTCTTGTAAATCTGATATTTAAAATTATTTGTCCCTTGTTCCTACCATGGATCCTTTGTGGAGCAAGTAAGCAAGGTATATACCATGTTCTAGATATAAAATTCTTTCTTTCTTTATATGGCGAGGCATATAAATAAGTCTCAATTATGAGTGTAGATAAGCTACACTGGGTTTTCTTCAATTTTCATATTGTGTATACCAGTTCACTATAACTGTCAAGTTTCAGACACCTTGTAAATGAAAAGCAACATATGTGTGAATGTGAGCAGTTAAGAATAAAAACTAAGAGGCCGGGCGCGGTGGCTCAAGCCTGTAATCCCAGCACTTTGGGAGGCCGAGACAGGTGGATCACGAGGTCAGGAGATCGAGACCATCTTGGCTAACACAGTGAAACCCCGTCTCTACTAAAAAAATACAGAAAACTACCCAGGCAAGGTGGCAGGCGCCTGTAGTCCCAGCTCCTCGGGAGGCTGAGGCAGGAGGATGGCGTGAACCTGGGAGGCAGAGCTTGCAGTGAGCTGAGATCCGGCCACTGCACTCCAGCCTGGGCGACAGAGCGAGACTCTGTCTCAAAAAAACAAACAAACAAAAAAAGAAAATGAAAACAAAGAAAAGTGCCTTAGGAGGCAAAATAAGATTTAAAACACTAACACACACACACAAAGCATAACTTCAGGAGACTTATACCCACCAGATTTGTGATAGAACTCAGTTACACATTGCAACAAGGAATAGCAAATATACAAAATACACTTTTTAATAGTGTCTGAGTAAAGGAAGTAAATAAATAACAAAAGAAAAGTGAAAAAGAAGTCTCACAAGATTGAATAACATTCACATGAACAAGTTCCCTCTATGCTTAAAAATATATACAGTTCATATTCCTGAATCACACTAGTCACTTGGACATAAAGCAGGACTTGAGTGTTTCATCTGTTTACCTTATTGAATTGTGTGCCTGTAGATTCTGGAGAAGTTCTCAAAAGGAACTATTTTTCCACCAGTTTATATCAAATTATATATAATCATCCAAATACAAAGTTCAAGAACTCTAACCTCTAAAAAACAGCAGAACGTATTCATTTTTATTTCCTCATTTTGACTTTTAAGTACGCATATACTTTAAAGGACCTAATTTTTAAATGAATTCATGCTTTGAATGTTTCCTTCAAATCCTCTCTTCTGAATGTGATTTAATCCATGTTGGTTTTATATGTCAACTTTTCATTGGTTATTAATATCAATAAGGCTGCTTCACGCATGTTTATACTA